GACACATCTTGGATGAGTTGAAATGAAATTTGTCCAAAAAAAAAAAACAAAAAAGAAAACAGCATTTAACAATATTCTTTACATCTTGGCACTGCATATTTTTCTTCTTTTTCCTATTAATTTCATATAAAATATCATTAGATTGATACACCCTTATATTATTACTGACCACTTAAACCACCCNAACTGAGCGTCACTTAGCAACAGTAGGGAGGAAGAACTCCCTTCTATCGTACAAAGCCTTTAATGATCAAGCTCTGTCATATCTTAAAGACCTCGTAGCACCACATTATCCAAATAGAATACTTCAGTCTAAGAGTGCAGGCTTACTTTGTTCCTAGAGCATCCAAACAGACCAGGGAGCAGAACTTTCAGCTCATCCAGGTTAGATTCAGGACAGTTTTTCTTTTAAGGTTAGGCTTAAAACTCCTTTTTGATAAAGCTTTTGGTTCGGTTTGGCTCAGGTGATCCTGAATCATCCCTAAAAGCGTTCACATGGATCATGAATACCTCATATTAAACTACTTTTGTTGTCTGCTGGAGTGTGATTGAATGGCTCTGTTCCACACATGTGCAGTAGGTGGTAGTTACCGTAATGTCTGGACTATTGAGCGCACCGGAATATAAGCCACACCCACTAACTTCAAAAAGAAATAAAATGTGTACATATGTAGGCCGCACTTGTCTATAAGCTGCAGGTGTCCACGTTGTAACACGAGATATTTACACAAAAAGATTTTTTTAACTTTTAATTAAATACGTACCGGTAACGTACATAAATAAGTACCGTAAATACTTTTTTTTTTTTATGAACAGTGTAACACGGCTGGTTAAAAAAATAAAAATACAGCAGCCTCCCAGGAAAAGTCATTGATCGTTGTCTTCATCTTCCTCCTAAAACCACTAAAGTCGTCTTCTTCAGTGTCAGAATTGAACATCCTCAGAATTACTTCCTCAGTCTCTCTTTCGTTGTTGCTCTCAATGTCAGTTTCGTCTCGACGCAAATTCGTAAAACTTGTAAAAATCCATAAATTAGCCGCAGTGTTCAAAGCATGTGAAAAAAGTAGCGCAGGGGTGTCCAATCCTGGTCCTGGAGGGCCACAATCTTCCATGTTTTAGATGTTTCCCACCTTCAAATGATCAGCTCATCATCAAGCTCTGCAGAAGCTTGACAACGATCCTGATCATTTGAATCAGGTGTGTTGGAAGAGGGACACATCTAAAACATGCAGGACTGTGGCCCTCCAGGACCAGGATTGGATACCCCTGCAGTAGCGGCTGATAATCCGGAAATTACGGTACTTATTCTTTGTGTGTACACGACTGCCAGCTGTCGCCCTTGTAGCACCGTGTGTGGACACACATTTTGAGCTGCATGTGGACTCTTGGACACTTCAGGAGATGTTGATGTTTACGACATGCAGAGCGGAGCAGATCGCTG